GAGTCATTATTTGCAATCTAGGCTCCACATTTTGAGGTTTTTCAACTTCAGATTAAACCGAATGAGTCCTTATTTGAAGGATAGGGCAGTGCTAACTGCCTGCCCTGCAAAAGAAGAAATACAAGGTTGATGTTAAGTCCTCAGTATCAAAATTTTTGAGAAATGAGATAATAGAAGGCACGCAAGGAATTATTGGTTTCAGAAGTTTAGTGGCTAATGATCGGACGAGTTGCGGGAGAATATAATGTCACACAGCCAGTTTGTTGTTGTCTTGCAACCTCTCTTTGACGTGCCATCAGCTGGCAGCTAACTTTCATCTCTAAGCATTTGCTGCCTTGCCCTCCTCTCTCAGGCCCTCTTGAAATTACCAATAAGTCCTCTTTTGGAATGCTCTGCCTTCCACTACTTTAGCCCAGATGTTTCTATGAATAGGATCTCCAGCTGTAAAATCAGCACAGAGAGACCAGCTCATTTTCTTCCTTCTCTTTCAAGGGTTGTTCTCTTGCCCCTTTTTCTCTGCTCTCTTCTTGTCTGCCTTCCCGTTTCTCCTATACGAACCTCAAGTATTTCTCTTCTTCAAGGTCAAATAAGAGCTTTCTCTCTTCTGCTTGTTGCTGTTTCCTATTCAGAAGATTTTTAAAGTTGAACCTTTTAGCGGGAGAATTCTCCCTTGAGAGGCCCACACTGCCCACTACCACACAAAGAAAGCAGTCTATAATTAAGGACAAGAGCCATTCATAAAGGAGAAAGGTGGAAAAGAAACAGGAAACGTTACATACTTTTCTTTGTGCCAGCGAGTAACTCTAGAAGGAGTTGAGGGCAAACAGGAACAGACTTTGTGGGTGCACAAGCGCAAGAACTGAAGTAACAAGCAGCCTAGTGGAAAGTTAACAGCTCCATCCTCTTTGACTTGGTTTGAGGTACTCTAGCTACCATTTAACAGATTCTTGAGGAGGATATGGCACCAAGTGCTACCTCCATATTGGCCATCCTACCAGTTCTGCGCACCTTTTCAATATGTTTGCTTCTTCGAGCGTATGAAGGGAAAGTACTCAAAAGTTAATGAAACTCCTGGTATTGAATTCTGCCGCAAGTTACTTTTCCAATCTAGCATTCTTCGACATTTTCAGATCCTGCTGGTTAAGGCTTAAATTGGTCTGACTTAGCCAGAGACCTGGTACTAGCGACCCCTTATATGAGAATCCCAAATTTGCCTAGGCAAAATTAGGCGGCGACAAAAGCGCTCAGCCAATGCCATTTTGTAGGCTCTCAGGAGTTTCATCCAGTCCCATATGAATAATTCTCTGCGGAATCAGCTAATAGAAGCCACAGCTTTTTATCCCTGGGGTGTCTAAACAGGACCTATCACTCAAAAGTCCTCAGCCCGAATTGGACCAATATTGGTATGTTTTGAAAGGAGCGAATCTGCCTGAGAAGAAAGGGAAGTTGCCCCGGAGTTGCGGAGTGAAAGCAAAGAAAAGTCAAAAAGCAAAGTTGGAAGGTAGAGTTTAAACACTTGCTAACTTCAGTGCCACTGAGCTTGTGGCGGTTTAACTCCAAAAACTTTAGGCATTTTGACTGTAACTCAGTAAAATATGAAAAAGCCCAAAGTTGAAGTATCCAAAATGGGCCTCTTCTTGATTCGGCCATCCAAACGGTCTTTTTCACAAAAAACGGGAACAAGCTCTATAAAACATACCTAGAACGCTAATGAGCTAAGGCCACATTTCTTTGTAAACCACAAGGGCTTTGGCAAGGAAGGGCCAAGATTCAGGCATGAGCCTCTGAGAAGCACGGGTGCCCCAGAAGAGCGAACTTGCAAATCTAATATAATATAAAAGCAAAAGAATTCCCTATCAGCACATGGCCTCTCTCTTTTATTCTTAGCCTTGCACAAAGCTCACTATTTAGGATGAGTTTAGACGAGGGGAGCGGAAAAAGGGTTTTGGAGGGTCAGGATAGTCGGACCAATGACGGGTAACCAGTACGGGGACAATCCTTAATAGATGGCAATAATTCAAGAACGGTGGAGGGCCATCATCGCTATATCTGAACTGTGAAAGAAATTGAAAGCCAAATTCCAAAAACAAAGGCAGCAAGTATAAAAAAGGGCTCTTCGAAACATTGAACCTGGAAATGAAGAGGCAGTCGAGATATGCAAGCTCTCCTGCAGATCCATCCTCTGCAGGCGACCTCTGTCATACCATTCCTCCCACTCTGCCGCGTCTCACTGTGGGCCAACAGCGATTGGGCGGGCGGTTGCATTCCTCCAACTTTCCACCAGTCAAGGACCACCTTCGTAAAGGACAATGGTTTTCTAAATGCGGATACAGAGTTGAAGCTGTCAGTAGAATCTTCCTTAAAGATGGCGCCTCAAGCCCAACATACTTTTGTTGCTCATAACGATAAGCGAGGAATGACAGCATGCCCGTCGGTCAAGCGGCCACTTTTCCCCACCAGCCTGTTACTTTCTTCACACTCTTCATCACATGATTTCATTATTCAAGACTACCAGATCCGACTCGCCCACACTCCACAACCGCTACTTTCAAGCGAAGAAGAAGCCATTGAATAGCAGAGTTTCTTTAGAAGATCAAAGCTTGGGAAAGAGAGATAAAAAGGAACAAAGAGAAAGCCAACAGCCAGTGAAGGCCGTGCGTTGTAGGCAATGATGTGATCAAAGCATGAAATAAAAAGGATTTTAAAAACTTTGCTGTCTGACAAATATACCCAACTCGTGAGATCATAAAGAAGTATAGTATTTAAAGGTAACCAACGGAATGCCCGAAAAGTTTCCTCAATATTGATAGTTATGTTCGATTTTGGAAACATTCTATCTTAATATTTACTTCCCATTGGAATTTTTTTTTTTTTTTAACCCTTTTTTATTTTTTTTTTTTTTTTGTTCTTTTTTTTTTTTTTTTTTTTTTTTTTTTTTTTTTTGCACCATGGCAAGGAGCATTCCAAAAAACAATGACAGAGGATCTCAACTCCCTTTCTTTTTCTTTTCTAGTGCTACTTTATATGTGACTGCACAAGGCGTGCTTTCCAATTCATGTTGAAATGTATCAACAAGAATATCATATGTTTAGTGGAGGCTGGACTTGTACTTTTGACTAGGATGATGATCATACATAGCATATATTAAAATTTTGCATGATTTTAAAAAAAAAAATTTCTAAGCAGGTAGCATTATTATTTTTTCATATAACCAAAAGTCTGCATCATTTGCTGTTGCGTTTCCTGCTTAAACACGGAACAAGCAGCTCCCACACAAACAAAAATACACAATAAAAACATATTCAACAAAACCAGTAGAGTCACAAACACTTGGTTGATGCTGCTAACATCCCAAGAAGCTGCAACTCAAGCACCTGATGGCTGGTAACAGGAAAACATAAAAAGCACACACATATAACTCATATCATACATACAGATATGATATATAGATATCTTACACAATACACACTACACTTTTTCCTAACATTCTTCAATCAATCATCCACCAATGGCTTAACTGCAAGGCTCGATCACTCGTCTCTGACGTTCCATCTTTCTAGGACTTCAAACGAATCCTATTCGATTGTTGAAAGGGAGATTTCATAATCTGGCTTTGGGCCGCGGTAATGACCAGGCTAAAATTGGACCAAGCATGTTTGGTCCGAGCTGAGTTGGGCCAATCCAGGGACAGTGCGCTTGGTTACAGCCCTGGTCCGATTTGGCTGGGATAATTTCGGTCTGCCAGCCCGGTTCGCGCTATTTGTTCGTTGAGATCGGCAGGTAAGATCCTCCGCGGACCAGTCCAACCGAGCAAGAGCTCGGTCATAACGGAGGGCTACTAAGCTCGATCATAACGGAGCTCGGTTCAGAGCATTTTATGCCTCGAAAATAATACGGTCGTAGGAAGATACGGCAGCGCTGTCGGGCTGTCCGTTTGCGCCAACGCCATTTGACGGTTTGGTTAGGTGCTGTTTAGCTGTATTTGAGCTAACACGTGGGAAAGTGGGATAGGAGAGCAGGTCCACGCGTCAAAAGGTGAATGGACGCAGAGGCACGCGCAGAAGGTATATAAACGTGACTGCACCCCCATGTGGTGGATGGAACATCTTTCGGTGAGAGAAAAAACTAACACATTGTCTCTCATCTTCTCTCTCTCTTTCTCTCAGTGTGTGCTGACTTGACCGTCGGAGGGGTTTTTCGGTAACGCACCGCCGGGTAGCTCTCCTTCGTTGTGTTCTCAAGTTGATCAGAGGAAGACGCAGCTTGGACACGAGGAGTACGGACAACGTCGGATATTTGGCCCTCGTACAATTGGCGTCGTCTGTAGGAAGTCAAAACAAACACAACCTTGTCCTCCAAGCTCATTGGATCATCTTTCATGGCAAATAACGACGAAGTACCATTGTCTGCCATTGATGGTATTACCCTAGAGTCAGTCCGACAGAGAGACGGACTTCCCACCATTCCGAACATGGCCGGCCTGGAGACCTCACCAAGAGGACTCCCCAGAGATGCGTGAGATAAGCGCGCCAGGAGCACTGATCACTCGCAGAGTCCAAACGAACACCGGTGACGAAGAGAGTCGCACGCTCAACGCTTGAAGCACAAGTTGAGAGACCAAGACGCCGTCATCCGGAGAATGGAGGCGGAGATGGAAGCTCTCAAACGACAAGTCAAAGGGAAAGGTGTTACTGGAGTGGGTGACCACAGTGAGCGCACCCAACCCCGCTGCTCAAGCAGCCAGAACCAACGACACACGCCCTCTCTCCATCACCAGAAGCTATGGGATTGGAGACTCTGACCCGCCGACAGAGAAGTCATGCACGCAAGATAGCAGTTACTGTCCCTCACGTCTACCAACGACGTCGAGATATTCCTACTCCGCTCATTCGGAGGACTTGAAGGGCATCTTAGAAGAACGAGCGCGTCGGTGAGAGGGTCAAAGGGTACTGGCACTCCAACAGTTATCCAATAGAGGTCGCGCCAGTGAAGAGGTTGTAATGCCGCCACCTCGATCAGTTGTACCTGTCCCTTTGGACAAAGATTTGGCAAGATTGAGCGCCACCCCTTTCTCCCTTAAGATAGAGACCACACCACTTCCAGCGGGCTTTCATCAGCCCAAGTTTACGGTCTATGACGGGAAAACCGATCCGTACATACACGTAAGCCACTTCCGGCATGTTATGGCTAGATACAAGCGTAACGATGCTCTCATGTGCCTTATTTTCCCGTCGAGTTTAGGCGAGTTGGGCTTGAAGTGGTTTGAGAGGCTTTCGGAGGAAAGTATCAAAAAGTGGCAGCAATTGGCGGAAACATTCGTGACTCGATTTAAAACCAACACTAAAACGCCAAAGGAAGTTGACCACCTCCTGAGCGTCAAGATGGAGTTTAGCGACTCCCTCAAAGCATACAACTCCAGATATTGGGAAACCTTCAATGAGATCCTCGATTGCCCGAATAACTTGGTAATCACCCAATATAAGCACGGTCTCCCGGTCGGACATAGGCTAAGGGACTCGCTCATGATGAACCAACCGATTTCTATGGAGCTGTTGATGCAGCGTATCAACGAGCATATCCGAGTAGAGGACGATGCGACTGCGTCCATCACAAAGACAAACCCAGTGGTAACGGATAAAAGGGTGGCTGGAAAAGTCCACGCGGTTGGACAGGAGACAAACCGTCCGAATGACCGAGCAAGGAAATCAGACCATGGTCCGGATCATAGAAACCGAGGTAAAGGTCGCTGCAACGACCAAGCAGATTATCCCCGCGATAACGCAGCAGATGCAAACAGAAAGTTAAATGCTCAGACGGGCATCACCAAGGTTTTTAAAATCCCAATCTACCGCATACTTAGTGAAATCTACAACGAGGTTTACGTCCAATTTCCAGCTAAGTTAGGCAATGCGCAAAAGGGCTTCAATCCGCAGTACCGCTGCACATTTCATAGGGAGCGAGGGCACCGGACGGAGGACTGCTTGCCCCTAAAGCAACACTTGGAAGAGTTAGTCATCGCCGGTCACTTGAACCGTTACATCGACGAGGGCGTCAGGGCCGTGCACCATGCACCGGCTGAGCCTAGTGGTTTGGACGACCTAGAAGCCCCCCCCCAAGGAGTGGTCAATGTGATCCACGGTATAGTAGAGCCAGCGCGGGTATGCGAGCTCCGAGGGATGATCAAAAAAGTCGAACATATGAGGAAAGTTTTGTCATCCAGCCCGAGATCAAAAGAGGCAAGACCGAGGAGAAAAATGTGGTTAACTTCTCAAGCAGGGATCTTGAGCGCATTCAAACGCCGCACAATGACGCTCTGGTGGTCACCCTTCGCGTCAAAGACTTCGATGTTAAGCACATTTTGATCGACCAAGGCAGCTTGGTCGAGATCATATACTACAACGCCTTCAAGCAACTCAAACTCAGAGATACAGACTTGGCTCCGGCAACTTCGTCACTTGTTGGTTTTAACTCACAACCGGAGTGGCCAACGGGAAAGATAATCCTACTGGTTAAAGTTGGATCCGTGGTCAAGCAGGTGGAGTTCTAGGTGTTGAACGTGTCGTCCATATACAATCTGATCCTAGGTAGGGGATGGTTTCACGTTATGCAGGCGGTGGCATCAACCTACCACCAAGTTATGAAGTTCCCCTCAGCTACGGGGGAAGTTGAGGAGATTTGGGGCGATTAAGTCATGGCTAAGCAGTGTTTCATGGCAATGAATGGGAGCTGAGCAGCCAAAGGTTTCGTGCAAATGATCGAAGGCCCGGAAGATCAAAGTGACTTGGATGATGTAGGCACTAGGGCCGAGGAAAAAGCTGTTGAAGATTTGATGGAGGTGCGGATCGGCAAAGAGAATCCTGACAAGTTCTTCTTGCTGGGATCTAGCCTGACCACCCAAGAACGAACCGAGATGGTGGAGTTCTTGGTGGCGAATATCGAAGTATTTGCACGAACGTCATACGACATGCCTGGTATCGATCCAAGCTTTATTTGCCACCAACTCAATGTCTTCCCGGATGCACGTCCTGTCATTCAAAGAACAAGGAGATCAGTCATCCATCACGTCGAGGTAGTTGTGGAGGAAGTCAAGAACCTGCTAGAAGCTAGGGCAATCCAGGAAGTGCACTATCCTCGATGGGTTTCAAACATAGTCGTGGTACCCAAGAAAAATGAAAAATGGCGAGTCTGCGTTGATTACTAGACGGTCAACCAAGCTTGCCCTAAAGACAACTTTCTTTTGCCTAGAATTGACCAGTTGGTGGCTCTTACAGCCGGACACAACCAGCTCAGTTTCTTAGATGCCTATCGCGATTATCACCAGATCGCTATGCATGAACCCGACTGTGAGATCACATCTTTCACGACGCTAAGGGGATTGTTCTGCTATAGAATCATGCCTTTTGGTTTGAAAAATGTCGAGGCAACTTTCCAGAGGATGATGACCAAGATGTTCGCCCCTCTACTCGGCCGCACGATGGAGGTTTATATCAATGACATGGTGGTCAAAAGCAAACATCAGGCCGACCACTTGTCCGATCTAGCCGAGATGTTCGCCATTCTTAAACAACACAAGCTTCGCCTGAATGCGTCAAAGTGTGCCTTCGGCGTGGGTTCCTAGGCTTCCTAGTCACCAATCGAGGCATCGAAGCGGACCCCTCACAAATCAGAGCCATACAAGAATTGAAGTAGCCCAACTCGGCAAAGGACGTGCAACATCTTGCCGGTATGGCAGCCGCGCTTAACCGATTCATAAGTCGGTCATCAGATCGTTACCGCCCTTTCTTTCGAGCCTTGAAGTCCAAGTTTTCATGAGACGAAGAATGTGACAGGTGCTCAAGACGTATTTGTCTTCCGCCCCACTCTTGGTGACCTCCAAGCACGGTGAAGAACTCTACCTTTATCTGGCTGTTTCTCAACATGCAGTTAGTACGGTGCTCGTCCGGGCAGAAGGTATCCAACATCTCCCAATCTTTTATGTGAGCAAAACCTTGCTACCGATAGAGTCGAGGTACTTGCCGCTAGAAAAACTTGCTTTGGCGCTAATGATAGACTCCAGAAAATTGGCGCACTACTTTCATGCTCACATAATCGTGGTGTTGACCGAATTCCCTCTGAAAGCCTTATTTGAGCGGGCAGATTTCTCCGACCGAATTCTTAAGTGAGCAGTTGAATTGGGGCAATTCGACGTCAAATTTCAACCCCGAACCACCATCAAAGCCCAAGCATTAGCCGACTTTGTTGCTGAATTCTCGCCTGGAATTCACCTGGTATGCCCGATGGATCTTACCACAGTAGCCGAGGTGAAGGAGGTAAGCGCCATGGAAATTCCACAACAGAGTGATGTTGGCAACGCGAAACTTACACTTCCATCCACAAATCCATTAGTCAGAGGTGTATTTCGGCCCGGTAATGCGACGTTGGATTTGGGAATAATAGGTCAACCTATTGGATCCGACGCCGCATCGTCGAGGGGGAGATGAAGACACGTCTGTTGTAATCATCAGCGGCGAGCTTGTAGCAAAAATAGCCGAGCGACCATGATCACCTTAACCGTCAAGCATCCTAGGATTCCTTAGAATGCTAGAAACTTTTCATTGGTGAAATGTGGAAACTTTTTGTAGATGGCGCCTCAAACCGGCACGGCGTCGGGCTGGGCATAGTTTTGATCTCGCCAGACAAACTAACCATCGAACACTCTATCACGCTTGGGTTCCCAGCGTTAAACAACGAGGCTGAGTACGAAGCACAGCTGGCCGGACTTAAAAATGCACTCCAATTATACGCATCCGAGCTGATGGTCTACAGCGACTCCCAACTTGTTGTAAACCAAGTGTCTGGAGAGTACGAAGCCAAAGATGACAGAATGGCCAAATACCAAGCTCTAGTGAGAGAACACATCAAGAAATTCCAAGTAATAAGGGTCCAACAAATTGGCCGTGAAGATAACGGCCGAGCAGATGAGTTGACTGGCCTAGCTTCCATGTTCAACGGATCAACTCCCAGCCTTCTCCTGATTGAGTTCCTCCTAAGACCCAGCATTGAGGATTCGGAGCAGACGGAAGTATTCTGCACCAAGCTGGGTCCCTCTTGGATGGACCCTATCATCCTTTTCCTTAAAGAACGAACCCTATCGGCTGACAAAAAGGAAGCGCACAAAGTCCGGGTGAAGTCAGAGCGATTTTGGCTCTCTCCATCTGGCGCTTTATATAAGAGGTCATTCACCGGTCCATACCTCAAGTGTCTTCATCCAAACAGCGTGGAGGCTTTCCTTTACGAGATCCACGAAGGCATGTGTGGAAGTCACATTAGAGGGAGATCTTGAGCCTACCGCCCTATTTTACAAGGATACTAGTGGCCGTGCATGCAAGCAGATGCGTAGAAATATGTTAAAAAATGCGAAAAGTGCCAAAAGTTTGCCCACCAAATTCACCAACCGACTAGAGAGCTCCTCCCCCTCACAAGTCTTTGGCCTTTCGTAATGTGGGAGTTGGACATAGTGAGACCACTCCCAACAGCGCCGAGCAATCGGAAGTTTTTCATTGCGGCAACAGATTACTTCACCAAGTGGGTTGAAGCCGAGCCCTTGGCGACTATCAAAGAAAAGGATGTCAAAAGGTTTGTTTGGCAGAACGTGATTATGCGATTTGGCGTCCCCAAGGCCTTGATTTCTGATAATGGCACCCAATTCGATGGACGATTATTCAGAAGATTTTGTGAGGAATTGAAGATAGAATTCTACAATTCCACCCCGGCCTACCCTCAGTCCAACGGCCAAGCTGAAGCATCGAACAAGACCATTCTAAATGGATTTAAGAAAAGGCTAGAGAAAGCCAAAGGCATGTGGGCCGAGGAACTTCCTAGTGTCCTCTAGGCTTATCAGACAACTCCAAGACGCTCAATCGGGGAGACTCTTTTTGCCCTGGCATATGGCGTGGAGGCAGTTATCCCATCGGAGATCGGCATGCCCACCATCTGCAGCGAAAATTTTGAGTCTGAACTAAACTCTGACGCTATCGCCCTGGAATTGGACCTAGCTGACGATTGCCGAGAAAATGCGTTAATCCACATGGCCGCATATCAACAAGAATTGTCCAAAAAGTACAACAAAACAGTGCACCCCAGACCGTTTAAAGTCGGGGAATAGGTTTTAAGGAAGGTGATGGGAAACACACTGGTGCCGGGCGAAGGAAAGCTAGGCGCAAGCTAGGAAGGGCCTTACAGGATAATCAGTCTGGCGAGCAGGAGGGCATACCACCTAGAGGACTTGGATGGCAAAAGTGTACCTCGGCCATGGAATGTGGCCAATCTCAAGCTGTACTATTTTTAGTCTTTGTTTTTTTTCTGTAATTTTTTGTAAAGGGGCAAGTTTTCCCCTCCATCTACCAATGTAATCCTCTCGGTCGTTATGTGAATTCATGATTGCAACATGTAATAGGAACGAATTATTTTACATTGAAAGTATGTTGCAATTGAGGAACTGTAGTGTACCAGGGGCAACTCCCTTTACAACCGTGGTGTTTTATACCAGCTAGAACAGTTGATGTTTTGTTCAACTCGAATATATTAGCCGTGGTGTTTTATCTTGGCTAATGGAGTTGATGATTTGCTCAACTCTAGGATTATAGCCGAGATGTTTTACCCCGGCTAGAAGAGTTGATGATTTGCTCAACTCTAGCATTTTAGCCGAGATATTCTATCCAGCTAGAAGAGTTGATGTTTTATTCCACTCGAGTATATTAGCCAAGATGTTCTATCACCGACTAGAAGAGTTGATGTTTTGTTCAACTCGAGTATATTAGCCGTGGTGTTTTATTTTGGCTAATGGAGTTGATGATTTGCTCAACTCTAGGATTATAGTTGAGGTGTTGTACCCCGGCTCGAAGAGTTGATGATTTGCTCAACTCTAGCATTTTAGCCGAGATGTTCTATCCCGGCTAGAAGAGTTGATGTTTTGTTCAACTCGAGTATATTAGCCGAGATGTTCTATCCCAGCTAGAAGAGTTGATGTTTTGTTCAACTAGAGTATATTAGCCGTGGTGTTTTATCTCGGCTAATAAAGTTGATGATTTGCTCAACTCTAGGATTATAGCCGAGATATTCTTTCCTGGCTAGAAGAGTTGATGTTTTGTTCAACTCGAGTATATTAGCCGAGATGTTCTATCCCGGCTGAAGAGTTGATGTTTTGCTCAACTCTAGCATTTTTGCCGTGGTGTTCTATCTCGGCTAATGGAGTTGATGATTTGCTCAACTCTAGGATTATAGCCGAGATGTTTTACTCGGTTAGAAGAGTTGATGATTTGCTCAACTCTAGCATTTTAGCCGAGATGTTCTATCCTGGCTAGAAGAGTTGATGTTTGTTCAACTCGAGTATATTAGCCGAGATGTTCTATCCCGGCTAAAAGAGTTGATGATTTGCTCAACTCTAGCATTTTTGCCGAGATGTTCTATCTCGGCTAGAAGAGTTGATGTTTTGTTCAACTCGAGTATATTAGTTGAAATTTTTTACCCCGACTAGAAGAGTTGATGATTTGCTCAACTCTAGCATTT